GAATAGAATTTTTAATCCAATCGTTGGTTTTGATGAGCTAAATTTATATACATATTAATAGGAAATTTTTACTTTGATATTATTGATATTTGGTTGAGTTTTATGGGATTTTATTTGATTTTACATGATTTTCATTCTTTGTGTAGGAAAGGATTTAATTGGAAAAAAATGAAAATCATGTAAAATCATACTTTTTAGAAGTAAATTGAAAATATTAGAGACTTGATGATCAACTTGTGCAGAATTCAGAAGTCAGGAACCAAATCTGCTATTTTACCATTGAAGAAATTGCAAAAGGAGGCCAAAAACCTGACACGGGTGTAGTGTCGACACGTAACCAAGGTATCGACACTATGCGTTAAACATCCAGAATCAGATTCTGTTTCCTATTTTGTGTCAACACGTAATCCGAAGTGTCAGCACCACGCGATCAGCATCCAAAATTCAATTTCCTATTTCTGTTCCAAGTCCTATTTCTATTTCAATTAAGGTTTCTAAAATCCTATAAATACCCATGCAAATTCAGAATTAGGAGAGTTTTGAGAGACTAGTGGCAGCCCTCTTTTGGGCATTATTGGAGATCAAGATTGAGGTTCTATCAACAATAGAAGATCAAGGAGTTCGATTTCCTCAAATTAGGTTTTGTTTTTCCTTGGGTTTTTATCTATGGTTTGATATTTGAATGTCCATAACTTTGATTTTATATTTTATTTTTTTTTATTATGAACTGATTTATTCTATTAGGGTTACGATGTAGCCTAATCAATTCAATATGGATTTAGTGATTTTATGCTTTCAATTAAAGTTATTTGCATGAGGAGTTTATATTATTGAACTTAATGCATTGAAAGTCTGATCACCTTTCAATTGATTTAGTGATTTATGCATGAACTTGAGAAAGAATTGCATAGATTAGACCAATAATAATATAAACCGTGTGCTAGACTATGAGACCGAGATATAATTAGCTCACATGTGGTAGTGGAGGAAGAGAAGAGAGTTAAGAGCTCCCCCTTTTTAAGCTAGAGGATTTCATAGAATTTAATGCTCATAAGTTTGTTTAAAATTACATAGATATATGATTAATTTAACAAACAAGTGAAGGATTAACTTGATATGAGAAAGTTAGTTAATTAATTTAGGAAAATCCGCAATCACATGCAATAAAACTCAACAATTTGGTAATCCAGAATTTATATTGATTGATTATGGTGAAGTCAATGCCTTAGTACCTTATATCTTGGTTAGGTTTAATTTAATTGTTATTTTCTTTTTATTATTTTTTAATTAAACTTTCTTTCCATTTGGTTGTTCAAATAAATTTGGATTAATTATTTTGATACTTAGTTAGACACAATCTTCGTGGGTTCGATACTCTTCTCATCATTATATTACTTGGAGTGATTAGTACACTTATTAGGGTGATTTTAGTGCATCAAGTTTTTGGCGCTGTTGCAGGGGATTGTTGATTTAATTAATATTAGAGTTGGTTAATTCTAGATTTAATTTGAACGTTTTCTTTTCTTTTATATCTTTACTTTGATTTTTTTTTTCTATTTTCTTTGTTTTTGTTTTTACAGGTCTAACTATGAATCGAGTTGCCATAGGTACTTATGTGAGTTATCATTGGCTTGCGCCAGAGATAAGAGCACAAGTTGAAGCAATAACTATCAATTGGGATGCAGAACTTGACAATGATGAACTTGAACGAATTCAAGTAGTCATTGAAAGGATTGAATTAAGGAAGGCTCGAATAGAACAATCAAATATCACTTGTGAATGGTGTGGATTAGACCATTTTAGTTCTGATTGCTTATTTAAATGATATAACAAGTGTGTTGATTTTTCTTGTGAGTTTTATAGTCAGCAGTATAATTCTTATCCCAATACATGCCATTTTGATCCAAACACCTCATGGAATGATGAAGATATATATGAACCACAATCAGGGTTTCAAGCTCCAGAAGAGGAGACATGTTTGAATAAAAATCTGGAGGTTCAATCAAGTCATTTGCTCAACTTAGCTGCTGAAGAGGTACAAGGTGAGTTACCTAGCACAACAATGAAAAATCAAGAATAAGAGGTAAACACTTTACTCTTGGAGATTGAAGGACAACTTGAAGAAGTGGAAAACATGCTTGCAGAAGCTAAACAAGAGGATGTCCCTAAGGAGGAAGAGGAAAAAGCTAAAGTGTCATTTGAAGTGTTCAATGGGGAGTCTCCTTTAACCAAATCTGATTTTAATTATTATTTTGTTATTGATATGGTTGATGAGATTTTGCAGAAAAACACTTATAAGGATCCATTTGAGATTTACCTTATTCAAGCAAAGAACCCAATCAAAAAATACATAAATTGCTTGAACACGTCATCTTCCTTGGAATCAAAGGGGGCACTTCTAGAAGAATTGGGAAGGCACATCTACTGGCCTAAACCTAAACCACCTCAAAATCGTCATTGGAGAAAATCTTATGGTGGATTCAACTTTTTTTTTTTTGAACAGCATGGTGGATTCAACTTAAGGGCAAGAAAGCCAAGATTTAAAAAAACGAGAGGACATGCCCTACGACTTGATCCAAAACCACCTTGGAGTGGTAGAAAGTCTAGTTAATGACTATAAAATAAGCACTTCTTGGGAGGCAACCCAAGCATAAAATTTTTCTTTTCTTTTGTTTCTTTGTCTTTTATTTTAATAGTTTAGATTTTTTTAAAAAATCATTTTCTTTTTATGACCTAGGTTAATGCATAAATTGTTGTTCTTTGATTCCGGCCAGGTCATTGAACAAGTTTGTGGGACGAGATTATGGAAATTCACATGCTTAAAGTCTCCAATTGAAAGAACTCAACTTCAGAACTTAAATTTTCAAGTGCAAAACCTGGGAAGTTTCTCTTTTCTCTTACTTTTATTTTACATTGAGAACAATGTTTGATTTAAGTCTGGGGGAGAGAATAACTTTTAGGCATCCATTCTTACATTAGTTGCATTTATATCTGCATGATATACATTTTTTTTAGAAATTAGGGGTTTTTTTTTTAAGAATTGGTCCAATTAGTGTCAAGGAATTGAATATTCTTGAGTTAGAGCTTTTAAAATCTTTTAATATTAAAGGAGATACAAATCTGAAAAATAACACCATTGTGATGAAATTTAAGTTCATGAGTATTATATTCTCTTTAAGCACAAGTTTGTAGTGAGAAGTTTAGAGAGAAGACTTAGTAGCATCCAAAAAGCAAAAAAAAAAAAAAAAA